TTTATTCACACGTCACAAACTACAGTGGGTAATGTTTTCAAGAAACATTGAACAGTGCTGCCACATATGATACAGGAAAAAAAGAAAAGACTGAACCCTTTCTTTGCCATTATATAAAAATAGTGTTGCTACAAAAGTATAAATTAGTTTTACTAATAAGACAACTCAGATCTGAAGCTACACAGGAATCTGCTGCCAAAGTGCAATAAAAAAGACAAAATTAATAGAATCAAACCCTTTTCTTTTTTTTGCATTTTAGTAGAGTATAAAAAGAAATGCCTTTAAAATAGGATGCAAGCAACACTAGTTTCTGAATTGATAATAGACTATAATCAATTTAAACAGAACAGATCTTAAAGTTTGCATTCTTATACCATTTTGTACAATAATTATAATGAATAAGTTCAAACAAACTAAAACTTACAGCTGATTAATAACGGTATCTAACTTGAGTTTTTATTATATCAAAAACCTGTTGAAATGCTACTGTTATTTTTACTGTCCCCAAAAAGCGCGTCGGCAGCCTCCAGGAATGCTTCTTTCACAACTTCGCCGTCTTTGAAAGACTTCATGTGTTTTGCAAGAACGTGACTGACACGATAAAATGCTATGGTAGCAGCCTTGCTCTTGTTGTTGGGCCTGGTGAAAATGGACTGCTGTGCATTTAGCTGTCCTTTCAGGTCCCTCACCTTTTGGGAGCGTAGGGCAGAATTAGGAGGGAATTCCGTCTTGTAGCGTTTGTGCACTGTTTTGAAATGCCGCTCCTAAATTACCCTTCTTCGATAAAGCCACGCTCGCATTGCAGATGAGACAGATGGACTTTGAATTGGAATAGATACAAAAATAATCATCCTCCCCACTCGGAGTGAAAATTATATATTTTGGGCTCTTTTGCTTCTGCCATAATTGTGGTCTTGCGTGTGCGGACTGCACAGCAAACTAGTGCCCACTGCCTACCAGCCACGCCCCGATACATGGGGTCACACCAATCACAAAGCTTTGATGCGTTCAAGTGCATTATTCTGGCACAGGAAGATTATGTTATAGGACATTAACGATAAAAAAGAATATTGTTGTTCTATTTTTAGACACATCTCGCGATCGACTGAAACACAGAGGACTGTTTGTATGATGGGATCACAGACACGCTGCAAACGGTGTCCGCCAAAAGTCGAGTCCAGTGTCTATGTAGTGTCATTTTTATTTGTTATAGTTTGGGAAGATTGAAAATCGGTAGGGAGAGTCAGCTAAGTCGGTAGGCGGTAGAAACATGTCAAAAGCGGTAGACTACCGCCCAAATCGGTAGGGTTGGCAGGTATGTAATACACAATTTAAGCCCGGGGGAGAAATGCTAACGCTAACGCTAGCGATCTTCTCTACTTCATGCTATCTGCACAAATGGTTGACATTAAACATTAAAACGACCAGGCAGTTCAGAGAGAATCAAAGGAAGGCAGGCAGGCATCTTGTTAAAGTTATCTTATCTTAGCCAGCGCCATATAGATAGATTATATCTATATGGCGCTGATCTTAGTGGAGGAAAACAATTGTGACATCACTTACGCGACTCTGGGATTTGTAGTCTTTCTAGTTACGTATTTTTCATAGTCTTATATTTCAACAGTTTTACGACAAACTGTGACTTTTTTGACATGGAAATTATTTTTTAAGATTGACAAACATCATATGTGTAATTCATGGCACAATTCAAACGGGATCGAAAGATAAGTTTTCTCTCTCCATTGACTTCAATACATTATTTTTCCGAAATAAGGTCCCATGGGGCGGAAGTAGATGGGCGTGACTTCGCCACTCTATAGAGTGGCGAAGTCTATAGAGTGGCGAAGTCCCTCCCCTTCCGGTGGACCTCCATGGGACCTTATTTCGGAAAAATTATGTATTGAAGTCAATGGAGAGAGAAAGATTATCTTTCGATCCCGTTTGAATTGTGCCACGAATCACACATATGATGTTTGTCAATTTAAAAGATAATTTTGCAAGTAAAAAAAAAAAAAATGTGTCGTAAAACTGTGAAGTAACACATTTGTTTGTGTGAAACGCTCAATGAACTACATCTCTGGTCAACAACACACGTCACCAAGATGGCCGTCACTACTGTCTTGTCAACAAAACGATTGACTATCCTCACTATCACCACAATGAAACACGTCCTGAAGAATGTCATGCAAAGCTGCCTGCCTGCCTTCCTTTGATTCTCTCTGAACTGCCTGGTCGTTTTAATGTTTAATGTCAACCATTTGTGCAGATAGCATGAAGTAGAGAAGATCGCCGATGCTAACGTTAGCGTTAGCATTTCTCCCCCGGGCTTAAATGGTGTATTATAGAATGATCACACCGGTGACAGTACTATTCAAAGGGTTCACGAAATATGACTACTACTCTTACTGTTTAACATTTTGGGTTACTTAATGTTACTTCATGTTAAGGCTAATAAAAATGACAAGGCTGTAATGCTAACTAACGTGCTAGCTACTAGCTAGGTAGCTAACTTGATCAAGCCACTCCTGGTCCTTTCATCAGACGGGAAGCAAAAGAACGAGCAAGACCCATTGCTGGTATAATAACAACCTGGTACTAAGCACACAGGCATCTTGTTAAAGTTATCTTATCTTAGCCAGCGCCATATAGATAGATTATATCTATATTGCGCTGATCTTAGGTATCTGAATGGTGGAGGAAAACAATTGTGACATCACTTACGCGACTCTGGGATTTGTAGTCTTTCTAGTTACGTATTTTTCATAGTCTTATATTTCAACAGTTTTACGACAAACTGTGACTTTTTTGACATGGAAATTATTTTTTAAGATTGACAAACATCATATGTGTAATTCATGGCACAATTCAAACGGGATCGAAAGATAAGTTTTCTCTCCCCATTGACTTCAATGCATAATTTTTCCGAAATAAGGTCCCATTACCCGGAAGTAAGTGGGCGTGACTTCGCCACTCTATGGGCCGGCCGCCACTGTTCAAGCGTTTGCCAATCAAACCGCGTGTATGCTGGGAGAGACATACCGCAGGTCATTTCCTCATATTCCAAAAAATGGAGGAGAAATGAATTATAACGGTAGGGAATCACCCGGTGCTTTATGACCAGTCCCTATTTAACTACCGGGATACAAACCGGAGGAGCCAGGCATGGAGGGAGGTGGCAGAGACAGTGGTAGGTTTTCGCCTGTTTGGGGAGTTTATATCCAGTTTACTTCGGGCTTTTTTGCTTCGTATGTCGGGGGCGGGAGATTCATGTGATTGGTTGTTGGTCGCGTTGCTCGCAAAAAATCCCCAAGCTTCAGATACGCCCACTAGCACCCCCCCCACCCCCACCGTCGACGCTCGCGACACAGAGGGCCTCATCATATAACTTTGCGTTTTTGCTGTTTACTCGTTACTTTACTCGACATCCTCACTCTGGATTCGGAGGTCCTCCTTAGCTATTAGCTTCACGTTAGCATGTTGTCTTTGCAGGTGCTTGTTGAGGTTTGACGTTGTGTTTGCAGCAGTGGATAAAAGCTTCTGGCCTGGACACAGTTTGCACCTCACCGTCACATTCCTGTCCTTTCTTCGGACAAACTCAAAATAATGGGCATACCTCCGCTCCACCCCTTGAAAGTTATCGCTGTTGACTCAGCCATGTTTATGCACTGCATGTGTGGACACGCAAGTCGCGCAAATGTTACGTAAATATAAACCTGCGGCGGAAATCCCTCTTGTCTGTCAAAGGGAGAATCTAGTCATTCTTTATGTTAGTAGGCTAACTAGTGTGATTACTGATTTTATAAAAGTAACGGAGTAACGCGTGTCGGGCAATGTTAGTAACTGTAGTGTGATTACTGAATTATAAAAGTAACGCGTTATACTTCTCCGTTACCGACAAAAGTAATATTATTACAGTAACGCGTTACACCCAACTCTGGGCCTCACCTCGCGGAGGGGGCCTCACCTCGCGGAGGGGGCCTCACCTCGCGAAAGGGGCTTCACCTCGCGGAGGGGGCCTCACCTCGCGAAGGGGGCCTCACCAGAGATGGGGTCGTTACTCAAAAAAAGTAATATATTACATATTACTTTAAAAAAAAAGTAATATATTACTTTACTTCGTTACTCTCCACATAAAGAGAGTAACTAATTACTTTACTCGTTACTTAACTCGTTACTTTAATCGCAGGGCCGCCCCTCCCTACAGGCAGATCACGCAGACTGCGGAGGGTGCTTCATTTTGCGGAGGGAGCCTCATCTGAAGCGCAAATGTGGCGCACCTACAGTGTAAACGCGTCACAGTTTTCGCCGCTGCGAGGCTCCACTAGCACCACTGCATTCCTCATCCTTGAAAATGTAGGATTAGCCACCATAATCAAGATCCTAGGTGGTCTAGATCCTAAGCTACTGGTAAAATAACAACCAATGGCGGCCATCTTTTTAAATGGCCACCATTGGCGCCATTGGACAAATATGCGATGGCCCTATAGCCACAAATCTTCCTTAGGGCAAGCTCTAACAGTGTGCCAAAGTTCATGTTTTTATCATCAAAAGCACAATTCTTTCACATATCTGCTGGACTATAAAGATAGTTTTGTTAACAAAACATTCCCTCAAGGTAGACAGTGTTCTTGCGTGTTGTAACAGTGCTTTCTTAATTGTCCATGCATACAGAGCTGTCATGCAAACAGAAAGCCTTACTCTGACACAAAGCAAACAGAAAAGCTTGCCCTGATGCACAACAAACAGAAACTTGTCAAGACAGTAAACCTTAGCTGAACCTTTTAACCATTCAGGGTGAACTGGGGACTAGACAGAAAAAGGGTCTCTCTATATCTTCAATTATTTTTCAGAGGTTCTCTGTCGATACAGGCTCCTTCAGATTCTCTGTATGTGTTATTAACTAAAACTAAATACAGTCAGTATTCTTAGGTCTGTAGGTAATTGTTTGTAATCAATAAAAGCTTGACGCAAACAAGACAACAATGAGACATAAATCGAGTTGCATACTTTTATTAGATTAAATGATAAATATTCTCTCTACAAAGGCAATTGCTTTGAAAGAAATACAATGATTGTTAAGACAGTATGGGAAAAGAGACTTTTACAGTCTATCCATTAATGTGACGACTGACGTTTCTTTCACACCAGTGTGGAGCTTCGCCTCCTGCGAGCAGGTAGTGCAGCCGCTGAGGTGCAATCTGTGTGTCCGCAGCCACACTCTTCCACATGGATGTACGTGTAGGGAACCACATCTCCATTCAAGCAGTGCAGGTCAATGGTGCGATTGCTGGAGCGGGTCTCCCTACAGCAGGAGCAAGAATGCTGCATACCTGCTGCTGCTTTAGAGTACCTAAAGATAGCAAAGACAGGTTGATTAAAACCTACATAAACCATGTCTAAACATTTTTGAATTGTCCAAAACCTAATGGATTTGTCACTGTTTAGAGGAAAGATAAATATTAGTAATATCATCCTTACTTGGTGAAAGTGTTGCACGTTCCTTCACAATATGGTATTTCTACCTCATTGTATGACTGACAGCCCTTGTGCATAACAAATGTCTTTGTGGAAACAGTCTTGCAGCCCTTCTCCTTCTCCAAACCTTTTAGAAACAGACACACAATTATAACCATTTTCCTTAGAGGACCACAGAGTGAAATATGTTTTCAAACGTCATACTGTACCTGATCATTACTAGTATTTATTTATTTATTTTCAGAATGTTAACCCTTTAAATAACAGTTTACTTGCATAATGCTCGTTACAGTATGTTTTATCAAATGTGTATCTGTACACCACATGCTATTAAAATCCGTATAATAAATGCTAAGTCAATGAGAAACAACATGATTGATGAATTTTTGTTTTTTGAACAAAAATCCAGGGACATTTTGTGAAGAAAACCAGAAAATTAATAAATGTATTTGATATGGCTTCATATGGTGTAAATATAGTTACAATTTCAGTTCTGAAGTCAGGGCTCTAGATTAAAGCCGTGATATAATAATGCATGGTTTTATGCTATAGTGGCTGTGGGATCAAACATTCAGATTTGAATTGTCCTTAAGGGTCTGACTGTAGGTTTGTTATATATATATTATATATATAATTGTATGCAATATTGAACAACTACTAATTCAAACATTTCATTTTGAAGGCATCTACTTTCTGTCCAAGACTAAAGAAAATGTCACACTCACAAATTTTACAACAGCCATCTGCTGAAGTCTGAACTGTGCCCTGCAGAGAAATAAATTGACATTATTTGTTTTAACATATGGTCTCAGAAACACAGACAATTCGGTGTCATCAGTTAAAATTGATAAATGATACTTACAGGTTGGCAGTTGCTCTGTTGAAATGGTGGGCACACAATCTGGGAATTGAACGTCGTTAAAGTATCACCAACCTCAACACAGGTGTAATGCTGACACTTATTCTCAGGTGGTGACCAGGTCTCTCCTGGCTGAGAAGAGAGAAGGATATACACACAAACACACACACACATACACACACACACACACACACACACAAACACACACACAAACACACACACAAACACGACGAAGCCGGATTACGGACTGATATAAAAAACAAGGTACTTTTTAAACATTATGATGTGAGGTAGTAGCCAGAAGAGATGATCCAATTTACCTTCAAGAGCTGTTTAGTTTCGTTTAGACTGACAACACAGTGGGTCTGCACACATTTTCCACAGCACTCATCTGACTCAGGTTCCAGATATTCATATCCCTAAGGGAAAGGGTGAATTTAAGTTGCAGAAGTAAAGTCCAGTTCACTCTTACAGAAAACAAAGTGAGAAAAACTACATGTATAAAATGTATTGTGTGTATGTGTAAAATAGGTGTAATTTGACTTACCATGCTACAATCTGTTTTACATTTCTGCAATGCACATGTTATCATGAATAGTTCAGAATGTTGGTCCATCTGATTGGTACAGAGACAATCCTGGCATGGTGCTACAGGAACTACAGAGCCAGGCTAGCAAACAAAGAAGAAATGTATTCATACTTGTGTTTTAGCCATACAGAACATGTTCAGCAGAAATTATAATGTCAGAAGTTATACAGTATATTAACAAATCATTATTTATATATAAATATACGTATATAGACTGTATATACAATAATTACATATTTGCATTTCTTATTTACCTGGTATTCAGAGTTTTTGTGGACACATACTCTTTTTGGTTCTAGAAAAGAGTAAGACAAGTTAAATCGTATTACAATCATCTTTAGCTTTTATATTACATTAAAACTATTACAAAATAATGATCTCACCACATATACGTTCTGGACAGCATTTTCCGTCAGGAACACTGACAACTGGAATAAATCCTACAGGACAGTTCAGGTTTGTAGGTGGGCAAGTGTTGCTGTGACATTCTGTGGAGAAGATAAAACGGTGAAAGAAAATAGTTAATAGCCATGAATATACTTATCAATATGTATCATTTTCCAAACTCTGGAGGACAAACATGCATTGATGCTACATGACTTACCACAAACAAAGGCAGAACAGCAGGGGTCTGATGGATTAGTTGCGTTGACAAGGACAAACCCGGGACCCATGCAGTTTGTAACCGGTGCAGTTGGGCACTCTTTAGGCTTGCAAGAGACAGTCTTGGTGGACTCGTCACAGATGCAGTTTTGGCATTTGTACTCAAACCGCTCATTGAACTAGAAGAATGAAACAAAGTTGTGACTTAATTGTCTTTTGCAAGTAAATAACTTTGCTTGGGATTTCAAATTAAAATGAATACAAGACTCACCTCACGAGGATTTCCCTCAGGATCAAGACATCCTGTTGGAAAATGGTCACTTAATGATTAATACGATAGACTCTGCTCGACGAAAATATTTCAGAATATACAACACACTTACCACACTTATCAACACATATGCCAGACTCCTTGTTAAATAGTTTCATTCCATCAGGACAAAAGCAGCCCTCAGTAGTGTAGTTCATTCTTGGTTCATTAGAACTGTAATATTAAATAAAGATAGAACATTTAGTTTGCTCTATTTCTTTTGGATCTCTAAAACATAGTACATTTAATACACTGTATGTTGCAACTATGTTGTTCACAACCAAATAGCTATTGCTACCATCCATTATGATCTTCATCTCAGGAAATCTAATGTGCAGATTGCTGTAAAATTTACTTTTTGATTAAACTTACTTGTCTTCACAGGTTGGCTGTTCTGCAGGACCACATGGCTTGTAAACTTTGTTTGAAGGGCAGCCACTTTCTGTGAGTGAAAAAACATAATAAATACATAAATAAAAAGCATCAATAGCAGTGCATCGCAACACCCCTAGCAGTATAATAAAATGCACAACAGCCTGGTCAAATTGTGCTGGATGCAACAAAAGTAAGAAGGCGCTTCCTTCCTTGATTCCTCTGATCTCCGAATTTACAGTAAAAACAATGAGGAGTTGCTTACCACACAAAGTGGTGTGGTTTCTCCAGTACAGGCAAACCCCAGCCTGCGCACAGGCAGCAGCATAAGTCTGCAGACTTGTGCACTCCACTGCTGGGTTGGAAACATGACAGCTGTCAAAAACACAACCTTGGTAGAAATTGTCAGGAGAGACAACTGGATGGCACGCTTCAAAGACTCTGTGAAAGTAAAACACACACCAAAACCTCACAATGGTGTTTTAAATACAGTATGTGAAATGTATGCTGATGAATGTGAACTTTCCAATTTAGATTGGAAAACGTGTACCTGCTCTTAAGAAGGTGACATATGGAGTCTGGCTTGCAGGGAGTTACAGTTGGTGGTGGTCCAGGTTTATTGGTGGGTGGTACAGATGGTGTTTGGCAGTCAGGTTGTTCAATGTGTTTTGCAGGCCAAAAGTCGGCCATCACTGCACAATTTTCGACCAGCAGACCTCCAGGCAACTTGCAGTCATCAGCCTGGTTGTTATTGCATGTGCCTGATGGTAGAGTGGCAAAACACTTAATATTACAGTTTGCAAACAAATAAATTATTGTTATGTGCACTGAAGAGATGTATGTTCTTACCACAATGCCCCTGTGTGTTGCCGCCAAAGTCACTATATGGAAGGGTGACACTAAAGCCAGTTATTCCAAATGTAATGACCACTTTAAGTCGAGGGATTTCTAGAACCAAGTTGATGCCAGTATCCAGGATCTTAACACCTTGTTGAGCATAAGGTAGTTTCAGACGTATCCCATTTTTCCGTGCCTACAAGGAGAAAAAGGGAATCAACTATACAGTATCAAAATAAAAATGATCTATAAATTGTGACTAAGCATTCACCAATGCTATTGCACCTATTTTACAGTAATCTACGTAAGTATTTCTGGTTGGTCTTTAAGAACAAAAAAACAAATATGCATTTATCTATATATATTGTTTTACCTCCAGCTGCGCTGCTCCAAGAAGATTATGATTAATGAGTGTGACAACTTCGGATTGGTATGATATAATTATTGATCGGGGACAAGAAACATCTTCAGTGGGATCACAATAGACATTTTCAATATAAATGTTCAACTTATGTTTTGGGGAAATCTCTTCCATCAAAACGTAAGTACAGTTTCCTTGATAACTGTAGAATAATCCATCAAATGTGATGTAATGAGGATCTCCCCAGCCTTCACATACACCTGAAAAGAAATACAGTTCAAAAGTTGAAATCATTTTAAACAGAAAAGAAACCTGTTATTATATTAATCCTTTAACTACAGAATGGCTTACAGTCACAAACGTAAAGCTTGCAGCATTTGTATTCATCATCCACAAGAATTGGTTTTTTTCCGTTGGCACAAGTGATCATCTCAAGGGGTGGACATTCATATGGAACGATTTCAATGGTGTTGTTCTCAATGCATTTAGCCATAGTGCAGTTACATAATAAGAACGTCTCATTTTGCTGATGGAAGGAGGAAAAATGATTGAAATCAGTATTGTGCAATAAATGCAAGTATAGATTTTAACGTGCAAGATACATTAAGATTCTTACTGCTACATCCCATTCAGGGCAGGTAGGTATATAAGTCGTGGGTGTCACTGGAGGCATGGTTGTGGTTGAGCAAAGTACAGGCTCCTTGTGAATCTCACAAATATCCGAACAAATCATTGTGAGACATATATTGGATCCGATGTGTTCGATGCCTGGTATGACATCCCCTAAAATTGGGAATAAAGATAAGGAATTGATTAAACTGTGGAAACCCTTACAATAACCATTTGAGAACTCAAAGAAAGTATAGTTGTACTTTTTTCTTACCTGGCTTATAATGAGTTCCATTAAATATACAGAAACATTCTGTAGTTGAAATAGTATTTGGTTCAGTGGGTGGGGTTGTAGATTCTGTGGTTGTGGTTGGTGTTTCAGTTGTTGTAGTGGGTTTAGTTGGTGGGGTTGTAGATTCTGTGGGGGTGGTTGGTGTTGCAGTTGTTGTAGTGGGTTCAGGGGGTGGGGTTGTCGATGCTGTGGTTGGTGTTGCAGTTGTTGTAGTGGGTTCAGGGGGTGGGGTTGTAGATTCTGTGGTTGTAGTTGGTGTTGCAGTTGTTGTAGTGGGTTCAATAGGTGGGGTTGTAGATGCTGTGGTTGGTGTTGCAGTTGTTGTAGTGGGTTCAGTGGGTGGTGTTGTAGATTCTGTGTTTGTAGTTGGTGTTGCAGTTGTTGTAGTGGGTTCAGTGGGTGGGGTTGTAGATTCTGTGGTTGTTGTGGGTGCTACAGGTGTTGTAGTGGGTTCAGTTGGTGGGGTTGTAGATTCTGTAGTTGAACCGATAACTTGTCCAGTTGGTGGTGTTGTTAAAGTGGGGCCAGTTTCAGGTGTAAAAGTGGGTGGGGTTGAAGATTCTGTAGTTTCGGTTAGTGTTTCAGTTGTTGTAGTGGGTTCAGGGGGTGGGGTTGTAGATGCTGTGGTTGGTGTTGCAGTTGTTGTAGTGGGTTCAGGGGGTGGGGTTGTAGATGCTGTGGTTGTAGTTGGTGTTGCAGTTGTTGTAGTGGGTTCAGTGGGTGGGGTTGTAGATTCTGTGGTTGTTGTGGGTGCTACAGGTGTTGTAGTGGGTTCAGTGGGTGGGGTTGTAGATTCTGTGGTTGTAGTTGGTGTTTCAGGTGTTGTAGTGGGTTCAGTGGGTGGGGTTGTAGATTCTGTAGTTGTTGTGGGTGCTACAGTTGTTGTAGTGGGTTCAGTGGGTGGGGTTGTCGATTCTGTGGTTGTTGTGGGTGCTACAGGTGTTGTAGTGGGTTCAGTGGGTGGGGTTGTAGATTCTGTGGTTGTTGTGGGTGCTACAGTTGTTGTAGTGGGTTCAGTGGGTGGGGTTGTCGATTCTGTGGTTGTTGTGGGTGCTACAGGTGTTGTAGTGGGTTCAGTGCGTGGGGTTGTAGATTCTGTGGTTGTAGTTGGTGTTTCAGGTGTTGTAGTGGGTTCAGTGGGTGGGGTTGTAGATTCTGTGGTTGTTGTGGGTGCTACAGGTGTTGTAGTGGGTTCAGTGGGTGGGGTTGTAGATTCTGTAGTTGTTGTGGGTGCTACAGGTGTTGTAGTGGGTTTAGTGGGTGGGGTTGTCGATTCTGTGGTTGTTGTGGGTGCTACAGTTGTTGTAGTGGGTTCAGTGGGTGGGGTTGTCGATTCTGTGGTTGTTGTGGGTGCTACAGGTGTTGTAGTGGGTTTAGTGGGTGGGGTTGTCGATTCTGTGGTTGCTGTGGGTGCTACAGGTGTTGTAGTGGGTTCAGTGGGTGGGGTTGTCGATTCTGTAGTTGTTGTGGGTGCTACAGTTGTTGTAGTGGGTTCAGTGGGTGGGGTTGTAGATTCTGTGGTTGTTGTGGGTGCTACAGGTGTTGTAGTGGGTTTAGTGGGTGGGGTTGTCGATTCTGTGGTTGCTGTGGGTGCTACAGGTGTTGTAGTGGGTTCAGTGGGTGGGGTTGTCGATTCTGTAGTTGTTGTGGGTGCTACAGTTGTTGTAGTGGGTTCAGTTGGTAGGGTTGTAGATTCTGTAGTTGTTGTGGGTGCTACAGTTGTTGTAGTGGGTTCAGTGGGTGGGGTTGTAGATTCTGTAGTTGTTGTGGGTGTCACACATGTATCTACTTCACAACATACTCTGATCTTATAGTTGAAACATTTCCGTGGAGGTCTAAATTGGTCCTCCTTTCTACATATTAAACCGACTCCTAGATCACAAGAAACCTGTTGGCCAGTCTGAGTTACAAAGTCATTGAAGTCCATTTCAGGATCCTTTGTTGATCTACAATCAATTTCTGTGATAGTTTCACACAGTTGTATCCCACTATTTGTGATGTTCTCATACGTTTCCCAGTCACTTTTGTCCTCTAATGGGTTATGCACATCGTACCAGTCTGACCACTCACATGTTTTAATACAAGGTGTAGTGGATTCAGTTGGTGGGGTTGTAGATGCTGTGGTTGTTGTGGGTGCTACAGTTGTTGTAGTGGGTTCAGGGGGTGGGGTTGTTGATTCTGTGGTTGTGGTTGGTGTTGCAGTTGTTGTAGTGGGTTCAATAGGTGGGGTTGTGGATTCAGTGGTTGTAGTTGGTGTTGCAGGTGTTGTAGTGGGTTCAGGGGGTGGGGTTGTAGATTCTGTGGTTGTTGTGGGTGCTACAGGTGTTGTAGTGGGTTCAGTGGGTGGGGTTGTAGATTCTGTGGTTGTAGTTGGTGTTTCAGGTGTTGTAGTGGGTTCAGTGGGGTGGGGTTGTAGATTCTGTGGTTGTTGTGGGTGCTACAGGTGTTGTAGTGGGTTCAGTGGGTGGGGTTGTAGATTCTGTGGTTGCTGTGGGTGCTACAGGTGTTGTAGTGGGTTCAGTGGGTGGGGTTGTAGATTCTGTGGTTGTAGTTGGTGTTTCAGGTGTTGTAGTGGGTTCAGTGGGTGGGGTTGTAGATTCTGTGGTTGTTGTGGGTGCTACAGGTGTTGTAGTGGGTTCAGTGGGTGGGGTTGTCGATTCTGTGGTTGCTGTGGGTGCTACAGGTGTTGTAGTGGGTTTAGTGGGTGGGGTTGTCGATTCTGTGGTTGCTGTGGGTGCTACAGGTGTTGTAGTGGGTTCAGTGGGTGGGGTTGTAGATTCTGTGGTTGTTGTGGGTGCTACAGGTGTTGTAGTGGGTTCAGTGGGTGGGGTTGTAGATTCTGTGGTTGTTGTGGGTGCTACAGGTGTTGTAGTGGGTTCAGTGGGTGGGGTTGTCGATTCTGTAGTTGTTGTGGGTGCTACAGTTGTTGTAGTGGGTTCAGTGGGTGGGGTTGTAGATTCTGTGGTTGGTGTTTCAGGTGTTGTAGTGGGTTCAGGGGGTGGGGTTGTAGATTCTGTGGTTGCTGTGGGTGCTACAGGTGTTGTAGTGGGTTCAGTGGGTGGGGTTGTAGATTCTGTGGTTGTTGTGGGTGCTACAGGTGTTGTAGTGGGTTTAGTGGGTGGGGTTGTCGATTCTGTGGTTGCTGTGGGTGCTACAGGTGTTGTAGTGGGTTCAGTGGGTGGGGTTGTAGATTCTGTGGTTGTTGTGGGTGCTACAGGTGTTGTAGTGGGTTCAGTGGGTGGGGTTGTAGATTCTGTGGTTGTTGTGGGTGCTACAGTTGTTGTAGTGGGTTCAGTTGGTGGGGTTGTAGATTCTGTAGTTGTTGTGGGTGTCACACATGTATCTACTTCACAACATACTCTGATCTTATAGTTGAAACATTTCCGTGGAGGTCTAAATTGGTCCTCCTTTCTACATATTAAACCGACTCCTAGATCACAAGAAACCTGTTGGCCAGTCTGAGTTACAAAGTCATTGAAGTCCATTTCAGGATCCTTTGTTGATCTACAATCAATTTCTGTGATAGTTTCACAAATTTGTATCCCACTATTTGTGATGTTCTCATACGTTTCCCAGTCACTTTTGTCCTCTAATGGGTTATGCACATCGTACCAGTCTGACCACTCACATGTTTTAATACAAGGTGTAGTGGATTCAGTTGGTGGGGTTGTAGATGCTGTGGTTGTGGTTGGTGTTGCAGGTGTTGTAGTGGGTTCAGTGGGTGGGGTTGTAGATTCTGTGGTTGTTGTGGGTGCTACAGGTGTTGTAGTGGGTTCAGTGGGTGGGGTTGTAGATTCTGTGGTTGTAGTTGGTGTTTCAGGTGTTGTAGTGGGTTCAGTGGGTGGGGTTGTAGATTCTGTGGTTGTTGTGGGTGCTACAGGTGTTGTAGTGGGTTCAGTGGGTGGGGTTGTAGATTCTGTGGTTGCTGTGGGTGCTACAGGTGTTGTAGTGGGTTCAGTGGGTGGGGTTGTAGATTCTGTGGTTGTTGTGGGTGCTACAGGTGTTGTAGTGGGTTTAGTGGGTGGGGTTGTCGATTCTGTGGTTGCTGTGGGTGCTACAGGTGTTGTAGTGGGTTCAGTGGGTGGGGTTGTAGATTCTGTGGTTGTTGTGGGTGCTACAGTTGTTGTAGTGGGTTCAGTGGGTGGGGTTGTAGATTCTGTGGTTGATGTGGGTGCTACAGGTGTTGTAGTGGGTTCAGTGGGTGGGGTTGTCGATTCTGTAGTTGTTGTGGGTGCTACAGTTGTTGTAGTGAGTTCAGTTGGTGGGGTTGTAGATTCTGTAGTTGTTGTGGGTGTTTCAGTTGTTGTAGTGGGTTCAGTGGGTGGGGTTGTAGATTCTGTAGTTGATGTGGGTGCTACAGGTGTTGTAGTGGGTTCAGTGGGTGGGGTTGTCGATTCTGTAGTTGTTGTGGGTGCTACAGTTGTTGTAGTGAGTTCAGTTGGTGGGGTTGTAGATTCTGTGGTTGTTGTGGGTGCTACAGGTGTTGTAGTGAGTTCAGTTGGTGGGGTTGTAGATTCTGTAGTTGTTGTGGGTGCTACAGGTGTTGTAGTGGGTTCAGTGGGTGGGGTTGTAGATTCTGTAGTTGATGTGGGTGCTACAGTTGTTGTAGTGAGTTCAGTTGGTGGGGTTGTAGATTCTGTGGTTGTTGTGGGTGTCACACATGTATCTACTTCACAACATACTCTGATCTTATAGTTGAAACATTTCCGTGGAGGTCTAAATTGGTCCTCCTTTCTACATATTAAACCGATTCCTAGATCACAAGAAACCTGTTGGCCAGTTTGAGTTACATAGTCATTGAAGTCCATTTCAGGATTATTTGTTGCTCTACAATCAATTTCTGTGATAGTTTCACACAGTTGTATCCCACTATTTGTGATGTTCTCATACGTTTCCCAGTCACTTTTGTCCTCTAATGGGTTATGCACATCGTACCAGTCTGACCACTCACATGTTTTAATACAAGGTGTAGTGGATTCAGTTGGTGGGGTTGTAGATGCTGTGGTAGAGGCTGGTGTTTCATTTGTTGTAGGAGTTTGAGTTTGTGGGGTTGTATATACTGTGGTTGTTGTAGGAGATTCGGTTGGTGTTGTAACAGGTGTGGTGGTGGCAATTGTTGTTGTTGGGACAGTTGTAGATATGCAAGTTTCATTTTCAAATATCATTGTCCCATTCCTGCATATTGCATAGTAGCACATTCCCATATTGTCAGTGGCATTGAAAATAACTTCCTCTTCCTCGTATCTAGTATTGTTGTAATAGCAACCATCACATTCCTCCACACACAACCCAGTCTTTTCATCAAATATCGGCGTTTCTTCTGGGCATAAAGGGTAGCAGCCTGTACAAATCACAACATTAAATGTAATACATTGTTTGTGTAATTGATCATTATTGTTTTTAAAATAGTTATTTATTCTACTTGAAACTGAAGATTGCTTGGTTGTCACATATAAAATAAGCCAAATTGGATCATTTCTACATTTCAGATTTTAACCATCACATAAAGCTGAGAAAGTGTGAGTTAACCTCTCACCTTCCAGGTTGGGTAAAGGTGTGCTGCAATTTTCTTCTGGATTCATACAGGTCTGGTAGCAAGGTTTGTGGCAAGGATTGTAGTGCCACTTGCATTCACCTGGGTTGTTGTAGTAATCACAAAAGACAGCTAGGAAGAAACAATGAAAAAAAGGTTATGTTTTAAACAAAGTAATTGCTGATGTAGGCTATCTCTTAGTGAAAAAGACCTTAAACATAAAGTCAACCTGATACGAATCCTCACATTAATAATAAAGATTGAAAGAAGTTTAAGGTAACTTGGGAAGTTATTAGGCATCATGTATATAAATCATTGCATCGGGTCCCATAACAGCTTCTTAGCACCAGAAAAGCTGTGAAACCTGAGTTTATTCTTAGGGTTCGAAGGCATATATATTTCACATTGTTGTATACTTACGACAGATTTCTGGAGTTCTCCATGCAACACATACAGAAGCCTCATTACACGCTTGAGCATAAGCTGCAACTGCTGAGCAGAAACATTCACAGTCTCCTCCAGAGTCGCAGGCACATGAGTCTTTCACACAGTTTTCATAATATGGAAGGGGAGCAACCTGTTAAGTCGTAAACAAATTAGTTACATTTGTTCAACCATCACACTTAAAAAAAAAACATAAATGATTAACAATATGTCTGCACCTTATTGTGGCAATGTTTGAACGTATTCCCAGTTATAATGCTGCACATCATTTTTGCCCAGTGATGTCGATTGGGTTTTGCGCCACAAGGGTCAGCATTCTTATCCACATCTGGGCAATTGCTTGACACTTTCCAGCTGTTTGCGAATTCTATAGGATTGCTTACTACCAGATGACCCTGGGTGGTGAAGTCGTTCTGTCCATCTCCATCAAAATCTCCACACAGACCACACACCTCTCCCTGTAAAGACATACAAAAGGAGTTAGTGATTTCTTTCACATTTTATTCCATAACAAACCCTTTGGCACTGCAAGAGACAGACATTTTCCAGGCTTTAATATACTTCCATTATTTCCACAACCTATTTACTAAATATGTTATTAATATTGTTATAATTGTAATTTCAGAAAGTTAATATGGTGTAAACCGCTTATAGTGATCGAGGTTACAGTGATCAACTGCTTATATAGAACAGATAAATAAAACTTTGGCACAGGATTTGTGTATAGTAATCAAGTCATCCACTAACTTTTCATTTTGAGCTTTTCATACATTACAACATGTTGAATTTATAAAAATACATTTTAGAGTTTTTGTAAACAACACAACACAGTTACATGTATAGCCATAATATAATTTGAACTACAGTGAACAGATGTTATATACAGTAGGTAGGTACTGTATTGCATTTAGGTGAATTTTTATTTAAACAGTCCAGTAAATTAATTTCTACAATAATTTTGAAAAGCATTTGAAACAGATGTACTGTATTTTGTCAAAGTGGTGTGAAGAGAAAGCAGACAGCTAGACTACAGATTAAAAAAATGTTTTACATCATATCAAAACTTGAATATTTAAACGTTTCAAACACTTAAACCAACAGATTTCAGTCATCATATGAACAATTTCCGAGACTTACGCTGTGCATTGGTTCCAGGATAATGTGAACAGTTGTTTTTCCATCCCACATCACCGACAGACCAATGGCTGATTCTATCACCACAAACAAGCCAACCCTTCGTATTCTGTACTGAATCTCAGCACCCTGGCCCAGGTTCAACTCTTCATATTTACCCTTCGATAGTTTAATTTCCATTCGCTGTAATGTTAAGGAGATTCTTGTTAGTTTGACAAAATAAATATTTTGTTGGATTGAGTCCAATATATCAGGTGTTGGTATTATGTCTTACCCCCAGATAGATTCTGACAGTTTTGGAGCACGTGGTGCCTGTAGTTCCACAAGGTTCATTTTCTGTGATGACCCCAAAGCTGTCCTGCACTGTTTTATTGCCACATTTGTTCTTAAAAGAGAAAGATGTATTGATTCATTAAACATTTTCCCTTTATATTAGACATGTACCAATGGTAAAATTAAACCTTGGCTTGGACTCAAATTTTCCACAATAGTTTAGTACAAACACTAGAACACAAACACATTAATTAATTCTCAGTAGAGTAGGATTATATAATGCATATTTCATATGTCTTTAAGTAAATTAAATGTAGATATCATCCCAAAAAGTATATCAAGTTTAGTCTTCAAGATTAGAAAAAAGTTAGACATTTATACATGACTGACTTTCAACATTTGTTTACCTTCACAGCAACATAGGCACAATCTCCATTAAACCCATATGTTTGCTGATCAAATGTATTGTAGTGGCCACTCCCATAAATAGTGCAAGTTTGTGGGCATTTTTTCTCGCTGCACACCCAGCTTCCACTTTTGCAGGTACTAGATCAGAAATGGTAAGATATAATACAATGTTTTAAAATACCACAATGATGTAAATGTTAATAATAGTAATATATAAATATAATAATGTTTATGCTATAGTATACTTCTGATTTAAAAACGAGGTCATACCAGGTGTTGCACTGCTCGGGGATTTCTGATCCAGGGGCATAAATATGGCCATCGTGCTTACATGGGCACTGATTTCTTTGCACACAGGAATCTTTGCCATCATCGAAAAGGCCAGCTGGACACCGACAGCCAGATTCACACTCAGTGGAGTCCTGAGAGGAAAGAAGGACGACATAGATAGTAAAGGAGAAAAATGAATAATACTTGTTGGGAAAATACTGAATGTACTCTTCTAATATCAGAGTAGGACATGATAACAAAGGCCCTATGTAGCTGTGTACGTAACAGGATGTATGATTACCTACGAGAGCGTCGGGACACACTGTTTTTAGGTTTATGATAGCTATGTGACAACTATTAACATGATGATTCAGCCTCTATGGAGATGGACATATGACTGTCATGTTTATTGCTTACGCAGGTCTTAGCTAATCTGAAGTAAACATTGAATACTGCTTTGAACCAGTATTCTAACACTCTCTTGTATATAAGCATGTCAAGGACACTATTCATGGAACTAGTTGTACCATGCAGCTTTGTATACAGTATGATGACTACTTCCATTCTTGCAAGGATAATAAATACATGTATCCTGATATTGAAGATCAAGCCGGTGACAAGTGATATTTTTCTAACAATACTGTTCAAGACTCTAGAAACTCTGTGGAACTAGTGAAACCCAACAGATTGTTTAACATCTTAAATGTAACAAAGCATCCATCATGAAATTAAGGAAATAGACAATAGACTGAGATGTTTTAGACTGAGAGCTTACGCAATCATCGCTGTCCAGATTCAGACATGTTGGAGCACAGTGCAGGCCCAGGTCCCCTGAGCCAGCAGCAGAGCAGTTGAAGAACTGTTTTGAAGAAGGGCATGCTGTAACAGAAAAAGATTCAACATACCAGTATCAACAACACAAGAAACAGAATCGATCAAATACTTGTCTTGTGGTAAAAAATAAATAATTAAATATATAACGTACTTGATGAGCGGGCTCTCCAAGAATGGCAATGAAGCATTCCATTGTTACATACACTAGAAAAGACACCAAGGATATGAAATTAAATACAACACAAAGGTACCTGAAAACTAACAATGTATTCAATTCACTGGTGGAAAGTATATTTATATAAGGACTCTACCTAAGTACAGTTTTGATGTTCTTGTGCTGTAGTTCAGCTACTTTATACTTCTATTCCACTTTTCTTCAGAGGTTAATATTATAATTCTCTCACTTACATTAATTTGTAACCTTTAGTTACAAGTTAGCCAAGTTAGCACCAACGCTATCAGCGGCAACACACATATTTATAAATCAACAATTATTATACAAACATATAACATATATTATTCTAAAATGGGTAATTCTGCCAAATAAGTACTTTTAAGTTTTGTACTTTAAGTATGTTTTGATGCTAATACATGTTCACTTCACTTCACTCAGTTTTTGTTCAACCTCTGGTGGGTTAATACTGCAGGCATTACAAGTGTTGTAAGGTTTGTATCGTATGTATCACTTGTATATAGACTCTTATGGCACTACTTCTATTCTATTTTATTGTATTTACTTGCACTATTTTATCTGTTTTATTGTGTTGCACTGTTGGAGGAGCCTGGGACCTAAGATTTTCATCGACATAACTACACTTTTGCTATGTACGAATGACAATAAAAGCCTTGAATCTTGAATATAGGACAGTTCAAATCCAATGTAACCAAATGGCATGCAGCTGACTCACCAGTGCTCATCTTTGATGCTGATGGACTTTCCTGACTTGATGTAGACTTCGTTATGGTAGCAGGGACATTTTGCCATGGGGATGCAGATGCCGTTTTCATTGAGGTAGAGACCATCAGGGCAGGAGCAGCCGTCCACAGGCAGGAAGTCAGAAATGCAACTCTGCTGCACGGAGCCGAGGGATCTGCAGGTCAGCTGGCATCTCTGATGCTGGTAAGAGAAGATCTGAGACGCTGGGCAGTTCCTGGAGTATTTATCTGTTTTATGCACAGGATGAGAGGATTACTGTTACTGATAAGACTTTATAACCATCATTATAATAGTAATTATACTGTCAACAAATAATGAATGATTATCTTGTTTCTTAATCATTGGAGATGCATTAAAGTATTTGTTAACCATTTACCAGAATATTATATTATTTCATTAGTTATAAAAGTTTTACAAAATATTTCAAAAGAAGTAACAACAAATGTTGCTCATCATTAACAAATACGTCATATAGTATAATACAATATTATGCAACTATTAACTGTTAAAACATAAATGATAGATTACCTTGTAATTAGTTAACATAATCATTGTGTCATCACATAATGTCATTGTTTAATCAGTTTCACAGTTCAATTAACAATCAATTTAATATTATTAGTGATTTTGATTGTTACTAAGTGCTACCTAGTTACTTTATAGTTTTTAAATCCTTACCGCACACTTTCTCTCTCCAGTCTTCCAGGAACACTCCCTTAGATGCACAAGCCCGAGCGTAGGAGGAGAAGACGGCACACAGACAGTCCTCACTCTTCTCACAGTTGCAGCTAGCATAAGTACATCTCTGGAGAAGACAGAAAGCACTTTTAGAGTATTACATCCCCATCAAAGTGTAATTGAATGAAAGACAAACAGAAAGGTTTTGCAGTACCTTGTAGTACAGCTCAGGATCCACCACTGAACGGCACTGAGCGAAGCTGCTGTCTGGACTCAGCAGCAAGGCGCACCAGTGTTTGGCATACCACTCTGCAGAAACAATAGCCTTTTATTTTCAAAATTCTGTTTTCCTTAAAGAGACAGCTCATCCCAAAATCAAATGGCACTCGTCGTGTGGTGCTTATAGCGGCAAGAAAATATCTTTTTAAAAACCCGCCAAACGTATCACTGTGCAGAAGGAAGCGTGGATCTACTCACGACTGAGACGCTAAGAAAGTTAGCTAGAAAGAGAATATTTCCTATAAAAGACAGTCTGTGGATTATCTTGGGTAATAGAGAAAACTTTTTTTTTTGGACAGAGACATTCGATTTATAAATGTTTTTTCAATTGGAATTTTAGAAGCAATTTAATAATAATATATTTTTTAATGATTGTATAATTTTATTTTTACTGAGAAAGTAATGGTTTGAAATGCCATGCATTCCATATTTCAACATGTTACAACACTCTTCCAAATACAAATGCCTCAATTATTTTGTTTTCAAACAATAAAATATCAAGCAGTGCTTTTTACCATTTTCCACACTGAGGGAACAAGGGTCTTCAAGTCTCTCCTCTCTGTCTGAACACATGTAGTTAGCCTTCCACGAGTTACTGAAGGTGGGAGCTGTTCCTTCCACGATCCCCTGAGGAGTCTTCATGTCATCAGACAGGACCATGTTGAAGTTCCCGCATAAACCTGTAGACAATGAATATTTTATTAGCACTTATACTCAAGTGCAAACAATTGGCTAAAACCAAAAATAGTTACAAGGAAAGTATCAATTACTGTAATGAGAGTATAATGTATATGATTAGGAATGTGGGTACTCTATTTGAATTACGACAAATTTACATAAGAAAAAAACTATTTTATACACTGTGAATTGAGGGTTACTAGTGTGGGGTTCAATTTGAGATTTGAGGTTTTGTTTGTTTAGAGAGAAGAAGAGTGAATTTAACCACAAATCCAACTCACCACTTATTACATTAACTGATGTTTGTATCTATTTCATGTATATTGTTTAGTTCTTTAGGAGGGATTCAGAGGTGATGGAAAGACAATCAGCCTATACAGATGTTCTTGTGTTAAACTTGTTACTGTAATGAATAATACATATTTAATAAAGTGTATTACCAAACATCATCATGTTTATTTTTCCACCTGTCAAGCACTACCTGTCCAACAAGTATTGCAGGTTTTTCATTTATTCATTATTCTAAATGTACAGTATTCTGACATCACTCTGATATCAAGTTAAATGTACAACTTACCACGTGTCTTTGCTCTGTAGCTTTGGTCAAGGCTGACATAGACTTGCATGACGGGCACATGCTGGATCTGAATTTGCAACCCGAAACTTGTCTGGAGCATGATGTGGAAGGATGAGGCGTGGAATATGTTGATGTCACCTGGATAAAGATAAGTACAACATAAGTTAGATTGTTTTCGCTGATGTCCTTGCACACATTTAAATTACAATAACCTTTATACTAAGGGTTTCTGACCCACCTGAGTGGTATGGCAAACTGACTGTCTGCATGTTCTGCTTCACTGTGCCATCGGAGGTGAACATTATTACCTGGATATAAACAGAGTTGATCATTGCAGGGATAGATTTGAATCTATGAATGTCTTCTTTCCTGACAGACTTTAACTCACATTGTTTCTGTCATTGTTCAGCACGATTTTAAGACCCTTGAGGCAAGTGTCAAACTCTTGATTTGCACATGGCACCAACTGAACCAGGATGGTAAACTTTGGACTTGCTTTATCCTGAAATATAAATAGTGAGAACAAAATATTAATTTACAAATGGTATTATTGAAATCAGCTCATTATGCATTTTATTTTGTAATTGTACAAAGCTATAGCTAATTCACCTTGCTTTCCACTTTGGCTAGGGTGTAGTAGCAGTCCCCATGGAAGGTGTATGTTTTCCCGTCAAAGGTAGTCACATGTGAGCCCTCCTCCACTGCACAGGTAGCAGGAGTCTGAAGGCTCTTACAGGCCCATTTACCCTCAACACATGTACTGAAACAACCCAAAAAAAGTCACTTAACAATAAAAAACAAGATTAAGCTAGGCAAAATGAAATATAATGCTGATTAAATATTCAAACTTACCATTCCTCTCTGTCCTGTCGGTAAACCTCACCAGAGTTGTAGATTTTGTTGTGTTTGCACTGACACTCAGATTGAGCAATACACCCTCTCATGGAAATATCATCAAACACAGTTCCTGAAGAAGACACACGTAACATGAACTTTTTATAGACTAAGACTAGGGTATCTATAAGGGTAGTAAAACATGTGAATGGCACTAACCAGGAGGACAGAAGCAGCCGTCGATCTTGTGATCCTCACACAGAGAGCTTGTGTCGAGAAGTGTGCATGTATCCATGCAAGGGGAGCCACTCTCTTCATACACCATGTTGAATGGGCACTGTTTGGCTGTGAGGAAAGGACATGATTTAAATAAACTGATGTAAGTGAGAGTTTGTGGGAATTCTTTAATAGGGAATCAAGGGTGATATATTTAATTCTTTGATGCTTTGGATGCATGAGATAAAAATCCCCTATAAACAGAAACACAGTACCTTTTCAAAATAACCCTACTAGTAAAGATTACAATATTTGCATCCAAAATACAGTTGGCTAGAGGTATAAAGTACCATAAAATGAAAATAATCAAGTAGTACCTCAAATGTGTACTTAAGTGAAGTACTTCAGTAAATGTACTTAGTTACTTTCCATCACTGCATATAAAAAATAAGGATAATACAAAAACAGAAAAGCGAAAGAGATCTTAAAACCTTACCACATAACTGAGGAGTCCTCCAGTTGGGAGGCGTTCCCCCTGCATGGGAACACTGTCTGGAGAACTCAGAGAGTGTGCTGCAGACACAGAAGTCATTTGGACTGTTGGAGCAGCCACACATGTCCTGCACACAGGTCAGGATGTACGGCTCAGGGTTGATCAGTGTGGTGCAGGAGCTCCAAGGCTCTGAACGCAGAATCTGGGCACAGGTGGTTTGCTAAACGGGAGGAAGAAACAAAGTTAGCAAATACCACCTGAGTACAGTGTGGGAAAATAACTGACTCCATTTAACAAGAACTGTACATAGTATACATTTGAGACTGTTGTACTTAAATATTCTGCTACATTGTACTTCCACTCCTTTTGTACTTTCTACTTAACTTTATTCATTTGACCAGTTTAGTCACTTTGCAGATTATTTACAGATAAGATATTACCAACATAATGTATCATAGTACAAGATGTGAGCACTTTATATCACCAGATATCACAAATGCTAACACTCACAAACTCCTTGCATGAATCCAGCACAGCCTCCCGAGATTCATCCTCCTCTTCATCCGGATCCTCACAAACTTCATTTGGACGGTGGACTTTCTGTTTGTTGCCGAACTCAATGGGGCTGATTTTGCGACCTGCACATGATTGTTGTTATAATACCAAATGTCAAAGATGCGGTCGATGATTGTGGAAATGTGTTAATGCATAAAGTAAATAAGCATAGTATACCATTATGAATGAATTCATCGTGGACAGGAACCCCATTGAAGTCTCCACAAAGACCACAAGTACGGTTTGCATAATCAGTATCCAGTTCCACCTGCAGCATAGCAAGAGGTTATGACACGTTTGGCTTTTTCACAATTTCAAAAAAGGCAAAACACCAGTTAATTGTAATTGCCTCAAAAAATCATAAAGAATTCTTAACCAAATTCATGTATATTACAATTTAAAGTTGCATTATTGTGTGCTGAATAGTTAAATGGTTTAACAGTCAAACATTTTTCTTAAGTTTTTACCATGACTGCATCGTCCCCGTTCCACATGACAGTGATGCCGACTTTAGATTGGAGCTTGATGTTACCAGCATTTTTTTCCACTTGTACTCCTGCATTGAAGTGTGGCAATTTGACACTGGAAAATAAAGATGTTTTTCTTATTACAATGAACTTGTATTGTAGAAAAGAGTGGTACAGTTTCTTTCCAAGGCGGTTTGATGTTCTACTCACGGGATGTCATTCACAGTGACCATGTCCTTGCTGAGGTAGAACAAAAGGTCGTTGATGGTGACCACCACATGACTGACTGTAGGGTTTCCATCTTTGACCTTCCTCCTCATGTGCACGGAGAACTCCTGGTAGGACTCGTGGCAGTCGGAGACCAGGTTGTACTCACACGTGCCAGGGAACTGAAACACATCTCCGTCGAACGTCTTGAAGTGCTCCCGGCCCCATGTGCTGCAGATGCTGCTCACATGGTTGTGAACTGAGGAAAATGTTTGAGTGTAGAAAACAGTTCAAGTTACTAAAGGCAGAAAGACTGACTTAAGAGATGATATATGCTTTACAATATTCATAACAAAAAAGCAGAATAGTCCCTCCACACAGCATCCTTAACAATCTTACCCAGTCTGGCTTGCACGTTGATGACACTTGCAACAGACAAAGCAAGGAAACACAACCACACACTTCTCCCCCTCATCATTGCCATTGGCTTTTGGTCACCGGAGCAGATAATAGTTAGACTGCACTTGACTGGCTTTTATAGTGAGATTGCACTTTTCTTGTGGACGCCTTTTGTCCAAAGTTTTATTGCCAAGACATGGGCAACATATGCTGAATGGACGTCTGACGCATTTCACAAGTCCAATATAATCATTCCTACATCCTCCTTATTGCTTGATTGAACAAATATGCACATTGATTAACAATTCATAGAAGAAATGGGCTGCAATAAAAGGGTTTTGTTGACAGTGTGCTCGTTAAATGATATCAAACTAATTCTCTTAAAAATACGCTCTCTTATTTTTGGATTAAATCGGTAATACATCAGTTACACAGAGTTCGGACACATTTTTAGTAGAAATCAGCTTTTTTCTGCTTTTTAATCAAGTGAGGAGAACTTATCAGGTATCATATCTTGGTATGAGAATGGTGTTATGGTATGATTATTATTTTATTATCGGATTAAGATCCAACCTCGTCACAACCAGTGACTGCCGGTATATGCTTGAACAAACAACACAGTTTGTAGTAAGCAGGCATAGATTACTGATAAAAAAACAGATCCAATGTCATCAGTGCAAAACAAGCTTTTTTCTTTCAATCAGCACAAAGTGTTATGCATTTCGAAGTGGCAAACTGCTCATATTCTTTGTGTATAGTGTCTAGCCCACTATACACAAAGAATATTAGCAGTTTGTATGACCTGCCATTATTGTATGAATTGGTTCAATGTAAGCATGTAGTATAAAATGTCGGAAAACTGGAAAGGTGCTATTTAAAAACAACTCCCTTTAACACACACAGTTTTCTTTCTGTCCATCTTTAAGCTAAGCTGTTAAGGAACTTCTGCTCAAAAAGTGTGGTTCAAATGCTTTAGTCAAGTCTTCAAACTGTATTTAGAGTACTTCAAGAATCAGCTTGAGGAACTCTTTTGTTCCTCAGTCTGTAAGATCAGTTTGGGTTATAAGTAGGTCTCAGTGTACCTGGGATAAATGCTTTAAGTAAGCTATGAAATAACCTGCAGTTTATCATCCACTATTCATAGTGTCTGTTGTGATGTATGTTTGTAGTCATGGTTTTCTTTTTTGGTTAAATGTTGTATTTGTATTTGCGATAGAACACAGGACCCTAGTGGGACATTAGGATTCAGACTCTGAGTTTACATCAATGATGATTGGTGCTCAAAAGTCAGTGGCAAAGTGGCACCTTATTTTCATCTGTAACAGACAGAGAATCAACACTTTTGAAACAGGGCTGAAACAGAGGGGATTATGCTACAATGCATGATCTGTTTGGTATTTCGAGCCAAACACTTCAGAGACATGTTTTGTATATATCCGAGACCGATAATATATTGATGAAAAACAGTATAATAGGGGACCTTTAAAGATGCCAGACAGAATATCTGCTTAGAAATGTCTGTGTTTTTGCTGGTATTTATATAATGAAACCAATATTTCCCTCTGCCAAGGAAGTCATGTTTTCTGTTTGCTTGGTTTAGTTGTCAACAGGATTATAGACAAGACTACTTGGACTGATTTTCATAAAACTTGGCGGTAAGGTGTAACTAGGAAAGACGGAGTTGAGCCAAATCCCAGGAAGGATACACACTTATTTTTCTCTTTCATTAACATTTTGAGATATAGTCCTGGCGGAAGTATGCGCCCTGGAAGTTCCTTCTAGTTAAATGTTTGTTCAAATTTGGTGACTCAGTATGCTTCATTATCTATATTGCACCTGGTGCGTGAATAGACAGGATCTGCAAACTGCATTGAACAACATCCTTGATTACTGTCACCCTCTACCTGCACTGTCACATTAAGGCACACAAGACTTGGCATGACATGGGCAAACTTTCCCACTCTCTGACGGACATGTGACAAGGAGTTTGTGTTGTGATTACAGTCATTATTGGATCAAACACCATTCAAAGGTAGAACACTCCTTAAGAGACAATATTATTACAAGTTAAAACAACTATGAACACGTAATTATAAGTGATAAACAAATGTTTGAACAGATATTTCTCAATTATTAAATAATAGCTGGTCGATACATCTGACTAAAGTTCGACCTTACTGTACATTGGTTTTATCTGTGAGGTTATATCTTGGAAACAAACACATCGCCATTTAGTATTACCTCACATAACCGTAGAAGCTCCTCCATGTGCAAACAGGGCTTTGGGCTACTCCCACAGGGGGACAGCTGCATGATGAGAAAGGTGTATAGTTATTCCTGTCTGACAGCTTATACAGATTGACAGATATAGGATGTTGATTGAGGGAGGACTGTACTTTGCCAAATTTCCTCACAACTGTTTGGTTTCATAGCTGGCCTATTCCAGATGTTTTCATCCGTGTTGACACATACTTTAATAGGCTCATTACATGAAACACAAGTTGCTATTTGCCATTAAAAACAAATAATGTATGCATACATGGACATTTGAGCACGGTTCATATTTTGTGTATAAAACACACCCCAGGCCTATGCTGTCTCCAATCATTTGGAGAGGAAATATGTGTATAGAAAGTAAAGTTCTATGTTACGTAAAGTATGTAAATATAACAATTTGTATGCTGTAAAAACACAAAACGGAAACAATTTCTACTTCGTCTGGCTGAAAACACTACCACTGTCTAATTAGTAATGCAATCATGAGCAGCCAGTGCTAAAGTAAATATTACATTTGCAACTATGAATACTTGTTGTAGTAATTATTTAATCATCCATCATTTGGTCTGCTTTAAAAGTCACTGTAAATGTTGGACATCAGTGCCTTAAAAAAATATTTGCACATTAGTTTCTGAGTATGGCTAATTACTTGACTCGAGTTAATTAGGCCATTAGTGCTGTTATTTCGTTTATTTCAAATTGCAGGAACAAGTGGAATCAGTTTTTACCTATGCAAACTTCTGGGTGAGAGTTAGTCTAGCTTAAAGTTCATTTGCATGATAGTCTTGAATTTTTTTTAGGATAACTGTCTTATTGTGAGCAACCGATTTTTGCATATTTTAACTTGATTTCTAGAAAAAAGGGGTTCCTAAAATGTGCAAAAACAAGCACAAACGCGCTAAAAGTGTGAACAAAGGCTACAAAAAATATTTTCAGTGTCTGAAAGTTGCATATTCTCTTAATACATTGATGCCTATATCCCGTTGTGTGAACGTGGTTAGCTTGTGCACATTTTCAACAGATATGTAAATGTTTTCACTGTGTTTGTCCATTTTTTTCAATTTCCACTTACCTTACCGTCCTACCACCAGTGGTATAAAGTAACTCAGTACATTTACTCAAGTACTGTACTTAAGTTCAATTTTGAGAGACTTGAACTTTACTTGAGTATTTACATCGTTGCTATTTTTACTTCTACCCCACTACAATTCAGAGGTAAATCTTGTACTTTTACTCCACTACATTTATTTAATGCCTTTAGTTACCCTACAGATTTAAATTATTTATGTGAAATATAATAAACACTTGAATAAGACTTTAGTTTTACCTGGAGTAAATACACACCCTGCAGCATACAAGGTAATAAAGTTAACCTTTTTTTACTTTGCACTTCTTCCCCACTACAATTCAGAGGTAAATTATGTATTTTACTTCACTACATGTATTTAGTACCTTTAGTTACTGTGCATACATTGATTAATTAAGTGAAATATAATCAACACTTTCAAGACTTTAGTTATACCTGGAGTAACATTCATAAGCTACCCTGCAGTGTACAAGGTACTTGAAATTAGATGCATGTTTTCCAGCTTTAATGCTAATACTTTTTAACTTTCACTCAAGTAAGATTTTGATTGTAACTGAGTATTCCTACACTCTGGTACTTCTACTTTTACTTAAGTACACGATCAACAGTAAGTACTTCTTTAATCTCTACCTACCACACTCCACAGTTTGACCACGTTGATGCTGGCTCTGTAGTTGCGCCTGCGCACTGCAGGGGGCAGCATCGCGCGGGTCTGTCCACCACAGAACAAGACTGCACAGAGGGAACAACATTCGCACATGCGCATCCAGTCGCTCGTATTAAATGGAGGCTGTTTGAAATGTCTGTAACGTTACTGTGACAAGTTATTAAAAACATGCCATAATATTGCATTAACCTAGTTGGTACGACTGATAACAGCGGAGACCATGGGTGAGTTCTCAAGTGAGAATCGTTTTGATGACAGCTATCGTTGGAATAAAAGCGAAATGTGCATCTGCGAGACAAATAGTGAATGTTGAATCGAAGTTTGCATCCATTGATGCTTTTAACGCTAGAAAACCAAGGGTGTTTAATACAAAAGTAATGCTAAAAGTTAAAGCTTACAGGGTCAAATTCAGTGTTGGAAGAAGTACTCAGATCCTTTACTTATGTAAAAGCAGAGGTGGGGAAAGTACTCAGATCTTGTACTTAAGTAAAAGTAGAAGTACCAGAGTGTAGGAATATTCTGTTAGAAGTAACAGAATATCCTCCAATCAAAATGTTTACTCAAGTAAAAGTACTAAAGTTACTCAAGTAAAACTACTAAAGTATTAGCATCAAAATATACTTAAAGTACAAAATGTGTATTTCAGAGAATAATGTAAAGTACAGAAGTATTATCAGCTAAGTACTTCAAGTATCAAATGTAAAAGTACATGTTGCAGAATGGATGTTTTCACCGTATTATATTATCATGTATATTATCCTATTTGTATACGTACGTGCATTTCAGTATTGTAGTTGGTCAATGTGGAGCAGTTTAAAGACTTGAAATACTGTGAAGATTAGTAGTACAGTACTGCATTATACCATGTCAGCATATACTGTTTATGTGTTACTAACATGACAATAAAGCCTAGGATTTAATTGCAGGGGTGTTCTATTACGATGCAGAGGCTTTACATTTTTAGCTAGTTGTACATTATAAACTGGGACCCTAAACCATTTACTACCTCACCTGTGTAAAAAAAGAAAGAAGACAGTCTCTTTTCTTGACAAATCTTTTATCACTTC